CTTGGAGCATATTTCTTGCCCTACCTTTATTTTTTTTAATTTTTATTTTTTTGTCCTTTTGAGACAGGGTCTCACGATGCATTTCAGGCTGGCCTTGGGCTCACTTTGTAGGCCAGGCTAGTCTCGAACTTGCAACAATTCTCTTGCCTCAGTCTCCCGGGTGCTGGGATTACAGGCATGTTCCATCACACCCGGCCTGCCTTACCTTTAATAAATGAAATCCTCACTGTCTTTTATGGTTGTTTTTTCAAATTCTCTGTTCAAGACAAGGAGTTAGAAAGAAGCGTAGTTACAAACAATGGAGCTGAAAGAGTCACTCCTTCCCTCCATTTAATTTTAGCAGTACCCTATAATTATTCACCTGTAAAGGTCACAGGCTATATATATATATATTTTTTTTTTTCTTTTTTTTCTTTGAGACCAGGTCTTGCTATATAGTGCAGGCTGGCCTTGAACTCATGGTGATCCTCTTACCTCAGCCTATAATTCCTCCAGAGTGCTGGAATTATAGGCGTGCACCACCACATCCAGCTCTACTTTAAATTTTTATTAGTCCATGTTTGTAGTGTTATAGGCAGCTAAGTTAGACAGAAGTTAGTATACAGCCAGGGACTGGGCCCTCAAGGAAGTCAGCAGAAAGAATAAAGACATCAGAATTGTGACTGGAGGTGCATCTGAAGAAGACCAGGCCTCAAGATAAAGATGCAGTAGCTAGACAATTAGGTTGGTTATAGTCTGACCCTTGTTGTACCTACGTCATGACTTTGCTGTATAAATGACCCCTGACAAAGGGTCTCAAAGGCGATCTGCTTCTGGGAGGCAAACTGCTCCTGTTCCTCATTCTTTTAGAAAAAAAAACAAACCTGTATCCTTCAATTAAAGATTTTATATTAAAAAAAAAAACCTTTCTGGTTAGTAATTGCGATGGTAATAGCATGAGCTTTGCCTTTATTTTGCTTTCTAGACCAGGTGGAGTTCGGGGCAGGAGCAGGATTTTAAAAATTAAAGATAAAATCTGGTAGAAATGATCACGAATGCCCTCTCTGTGAGCTAGATGACAGCTTCACATGAAGCAGGACTTGAAGAGCAGTCCCCCTCAAACTCTCCCTCCTCCCCTGTAGCTATAATTTCTTGCTCTGGTACAGATAGGTTGGCAAGCACGTCCTGTAAATAGAGCTTAGGTCATCTTGTTCTCCCAGGATTCATAAGGCTCTGTCTTCTTTCAGGGCTAAGTTATTAATTGCTTCGTCTTGCTTCTGTACCCTCCCTTCCCCCTCCCCGCAGTTTCTAACGACCACCGCCCTCAGCCAGAGGGTTACAACTAGAACCTTCCCTTTGGACATGAGTTCAGCTGGGCTGATATGCATCTAAAATTTGGGAAATAATTCCTCCTTTTTTCCCCATTGCTTTCTCTCTCATCTCTTGGATTCTGCAACACAAATACCCTAAACACCATCCGCTACACATTCAGGATAGTTGCATGTTTCCCAAATGTACCTATCTTTATGTGCTCGGCTCAGCGCCAGGACTGCCCTCAGCAAACACAGGTGTTGTAGAAGAGAGAGATGGTGCATGGAATCTTCCAAGCACCCAGACATCTAAAGACACCCAGGTATTTACACCACACACCTCAAAGACTTTGCCCACTGAGGCATAAGCCATCCAGAGAACTTTGACCACTGATGTTTAGTAAGAGCTTACCACCTCATGCCACTTGCCTTCTTTCAAGTCCGATTTTTAAAAAGCCCCCTACACATGACCTTTTCACCCTCTGTCTGCCTGCACCCAGGCACAATAAATTCCACGTGCGTTGTCTTTACACAAGCCTGGTGCTCTCGGCTGGTCTCTGCCTCTTACCATTCCTTACAGTGTGGTGTTGGTACATGTGCATGGCAGTTCAAATTTCCGAACAGACAGCTGTGTAAAACTGCTCCCTAGGTGGCCGGGGGCTGTAGAATTGCACCAGGAAGCCCAGTTCTTACTCTACAGTTAGCCATGCCACCTGAACAAGTTACTTCACCTCTGACCTCTGAAAAGTGGTGATAAACCTGCCCTTTTGGACAAGAAAGTGCTTACAAATGGTTGTTCACAATAGAGCAAGAGAGTTTCCTTCTTATGCAATCTCAGGGAGGCATGTCAACAGAGGACATGCCAGGGACAATAACTACTTGTTTTTTCAGTGATGATGGTGCAGCCCACGTAAGTGGGCCATGTGCTGAGTGTTGTCTCTGAGTGTTGCAAATGGATTTTGTTCACCTAAGCCCTCCCTGCTCCTACTGATCAGGAGCAGAGAGCGCAGGAAGGACACAGTGCACTGACTCTGTGTGGACAGCAAGGAATTGTATTTACACGACACAGGGCAAGGTTAAGCACAGCTCAGAGGTGGAGCCGTGTTTGTGTCCCCTCCGCTGAGTAAACTGGGTGATGACATGATATTGAAGGAAGTGGAGAAAATCCTCAGAGAAGATCAGATCACTTGTCTTGCCTGGGAGACTGGAAAGAAGACAATGTAGCCTGGTGTGGTGGCACACGCCTGTAATCCCAGCACTCAGGAGGCTGAGGCAGGAGGAGCGTTGCGGTTCAAGGCCAACCTAGGCCATAAAGTGAGCACAAGGCCAGCCTGAACTGCATAGCGAGACCCTCTCTCAGAAAGGAAAAAAAAAAAAAAAAAAATAGAAGAAGACAATGTAGATACAGGCACAGGGGTTGGAACTAGTACATTAGAAGCTTAAGTAACTTCTCAGGACCCTCCCTCTAGGTTAAGCCTACTTGCTATCCCCTGCAGGAATGCTCAGAGATAACTTTGGTTTCTGTTCTTCTACCACTTTAGTGGTAATTAACTTATTCTAATATATGGCATTCTCTTGACAAGGATTAACAAGACTGACTCATAGCCTTAGGATCCATACTCCAACTTTTACAAAGTTATCTCTATGGTTGCCTGAGTTAGGTGTTGCTATCCCCACTTTATAAACCAAGGCCAAGTAACATGCTCAAAGTCACGTATACAGTAAATGACTGAGCAACTATGTTTAAACCCAGTTCATTTCCTCATACTATCTTTCCTCTACTGCTGGGTTTAAGGACCCCTTGTCACTAACTTTCACAAATCTAACATGAACACATACGTTTATTGAGCTGTGGTAATTCTGGGCTATTTTTCTCCATGAAAACACCAAGACTCACAGAATTTCCAAGACAGAAAGAGACTGGAGGCATTTAATCCAATTTATTTTGCAAATAGTCTGAGGCCAAGAGAAGTGGCTAGTCTGTCTTTTCTATAGATTTTTTTTGGGGGGGAGGGCATTGGGAATTGAACTCAGGACCTTGCGCTTGCCAGGCAGGCGCTTGCGCCACTGAGCTATATCCCCGGCCCTTTTTTTGTCTTTTTGAGACAGGGTCACGCTATGCAGTTCAGGCTGAATTTGAGCTCACTTTGTAGCCCAGGCTGGCCTTCGAACTCACAATGATTCTCCTGCCTCAGCCTCCTGAGTGCTGGGATTACAGATGTTGCCACCATGCCTAGCTCAGTGCTGGGAAGTATTAACAGTTGTTGTAAATAAGGTGAAGAAATTTGTCCCTGGCCTTTTGGAGCTTACATGGTGTGGGATGGGGCATAAGCCAGTGAGAAGTATCTGACACAGGAAAATAAAAACTCCCAACCTGAACAATATCTGGGACGAGTTCCTGTTCTGTAAAATCAAAGAATGAATTTTAGGAACAACAGAGGTTGAGAGCAGAATATATTTATTGAGGGAAAGAAAGCTTCTGTCCAAGAGAGGGACAGAAGGGGGTCCCGACTGGGTTACCCAAGACTCTGTCTTTTCTAGGGGCTTTTATAGAGCAAAACCACGAGGTGAGGAGGGCCGAAGATTGGGGGAAAATGGACAAAACTATGGTCAGCCAATAAGAATTGTTTAGGTAAAATTGATTAAACCGGGATCAAATGGGCAAGCGAGTCACCTAGCAAGTGGGCATGAACACAGAACAGAGGGTTTTCCTGTGAGGCGTTGGGTCGGTGATTCTTTAATGTGATGACTACCTGTTTAGAATACCAATACCAGGGTCTGGGGACTTAGCTCAGCGGCACGACGCCTGCCTAGCAAGTGCAAGGTTGTGAGTTCGATTCCCATACCAGAAAAAAAAACAAAAAAAAAAAGAAAAAGTGGAGTATCAATCCCTGATGTCCACACCTAGGGAGGTATGTGGGTGTGTTTGTTTAATCTTCTGTCGTGACGTCTGGCCCACAGCAAATACGTATCTTGTCTTTCATGTTGGCTCCTTGGAGGAACTGGCCTTGCCTATAATATTTATACCTAACTCAGCTACCTATAACATAACCAAAGTAATTTTGGATGCTAGAAAGGAAATAAAACAGGGCAGAGATGGAATGGTCAGGACAAGCCTCACCACCCAGTGTATGAATCTTTAATTCTCCCAACAAGCCTGAGAGGGTTTTACTGACAAGCAAACTGCTGGTGACAGGGGCGAAGGGCGCACAGACAAACCCCTACGCCTAACTTCACTTTTCTCCCACCAGGACTGTAGAGCGCCGGGCGACACGTCCCTGGATGATGAAACCCGGGGCAAGGACTACACCATCTCGAGCCCGTGTTCTTGCAGGTGATGGGAGGTGAGGGCGGAGTAAGGCAGGATGCGTCTCCAGGGAGAAACTACAAACACTTCTAAATTGCAAAGGCTGAGGAGAGGACAGCCCAGCTGGGCCGGCCCAGGTCAGACAGGTGCTGGGGCCCCTCGCCCCTTCGCAGGTCCCCCTTTCACCTCCGCCTGGACAAAGAGCCCGCCCGACCCCAGCCAAGCCCCGCAAGCGCGCCCGCCTCCTGCCCGGCCCCCGTCGGCCAGCGCGGGGCACCATGGAACTTGTAGTCCATGCGGTCCTGCACGGCGGCGGCGGAGCAGCCATCGAACTACAAGTCCCAAGAGGCGGCGCGCGGGCCGGGCGGAGCCGCGGAGGTGGGTGTGCGGGGTGGCGGGCCGCCCGGGGCCTCTTCAGACGCGCTGGCGGGGTGCAGACGTGTGCACGCCCGGCGCCCGGTGCGGCAGGTTCACGGCGAGGGCTTCTCACCGCCGGGGGATGGGCGCCCAGGCCCGCGGCGAGGCTGGCACCGCTAGCGCGAGGAGCCTTGGGCTGGGCGTGTGAGGGCGCGGGGCCGTGCGCGACGCGTGTGTTCCCTTTCGTGCCAAGTCTCCTGCGGCGCGCGATGCAGCGAGCGGCGCTGCTGGCCC